ATCCATATGCAGAGGCATCCGTCTGCACTAGGAAACAACGGGTGAAGTCTGGAGCCTGTAGCACAGGGGCGCTGGCCAGCACCTCCTTCACGTCCTGGAAGGCCTTCTCACAATTGGGTGTCCACGACACCGCCTTGGGCAGTTTCTTCTTGGTCAGGTCAGTCAAGGGTTTCGCCAGGCTACTATAGTTACATACGAACTTCCGATAGTAGCCAGCTGTCCCCAGGAAGGACATGACCTGCTTCTTGGTTTGTGGGGTAGGCCAGGCCAGGATGGCCTCCACCTTTCCTGTTTTAGGCCTCAGGGTTCCTCCTCCTACCTGGTGCCCCAAAATACTGGACATCTGTCATGCCTATCTGACACTTGCTGGGTTTGACTGTCAGATTGGCGGCGGTCAGCCTGTCCAGAACTTGTGACAGATGCACCAGATGTTCTTCCCAGGTGGGACTGAACACGGCGATGTCGTCCAGGTAGGCTACTGCGTACTGTTCCAGTCCCTCCAACAGGTCGTTCATGACCCTCTGGAAGGTGGCTGGGGCATTCTTCATCCCAAAGGGCATGACCGTGAACTCGAACAAGCCGAATGGGGTGATGAAGGCCGACTTTTCCCGGGTCTCGGGCGCTAGAGGAATTTGCCAGTACCCCCTGCTCAGATCCATGATCGTGAGATAGCGGGCCGCCACCAGCCTATCCAACAATTCATCGATCCGGGGCATGGGGTAGGCGTCTGCAGCGGTGATGGCGTTCAGCTTCCGATAGTCCACACAGAACCTGGTGGTCCGGTCTTTTTTGGGGACCAGGACTACAGGGGACGCCCAGGCGCTGTGAGACTTCTGAATCACCCCCAACTGCAGCATTTCCTCCACCTCCCTTTTCATATCTGCCAGCACCTCTAATGAGACGCGATAGGTGGATTGTCTAATAGGAGGATGGGCCCCTGTGTCTACTTTGTGGGTAGCGAGATGGGTTCTCCCAGGCTTCCCAGTAAACCTACCCCCATGTACTGCCAGCACTCTCTCCAGCCCAGGTACCTGGGTGGGGGTAAGGAGGGGGTTGATCGGGAGGGATGACTCCCCTTCCCTAGTGTCTGCGAGTAGGTCCAGGAGGTGGTCAGCCTCCTCGGTCTCCTGTTGGCTGCAGACTGGCATGACGTAGGCCGTACATTCGTGGTGGGCCTTGATCATATTAACATGGCAGGCCTTCTGCCGTCTGCTTCCTTCGCCTAACCTAACCAGATAGGTCACATTGTTCAGGCGCTGGGTGATGGGGTACGGGCCTTCCCAGGCAGCCTGCAGTTTGCTCTGCCGCAAGGGGAGCAGAACATACACGTGCTGCCCCACGTTGTACGTCCGCTCCCTGGCATTATGGTCATACCAACGTTTCTGCCTGGTCTAGGCCTGGGCCATGTTTTCTCGTACCAACCCCACCAGCATCTCCATTTTATCTCGGAACCTGAGCACGTAATCCACCACGGAGACCTCAGGGTCCACAATCTTGCCCTCCCAGGTCTCCCAGATTAGGTCCAGAGGCCCTCTCACCCTCCACCCGTACAGAAGTTCAAAGGGCGAAAACCCGGTGGACTCCTGAGGCACCTCTCTGTAAGCGAATAACAGATGAGGCAAATATCGTTCCCAGTCCTTCCCCTGGGATTCCACAAAGGTTCGCAACATTTGTTTTAAGGTGCCATTGAAACGTTCGCACAAGCCATTCGTTTGTGGATGGTAAGGACTGGCCATGATATGCGTCATCTGTATCCTCTGACAGAGAGCTTGCATTAGGTCGGACACAAACTGGGGCCCTTGATCACTAATAAGCTCGGCCGTAAACCCCACTCTGGTGAAGATTCCCAGCAGAGCATCCTCAACCTTGTCCACCCGGAGGGAGGAGAGAGCCACAGCTTTCGGATACCGGGGTGGCATAGTCGACCACTGTCAAGATATAACGTTTGCCTGAGCTGCTAGGGATGGCTAGAGGCCCCACAATGTCTACAGCCACCCTCTTAAAAGGCTCGTCAATCACAGGCAAAGGTTGTAATGGGGCCCTGTGCACATCTCCTGCCTTGCCAACTCGCTGACAGGTACCACAGGACCGACAGTAATCCGCTATGTCCGCTAACATAGTGAGCCAAAAGAAATTATGGATCAATCGGGCTCGTGTCTTAGTTGTCCGGCCAGAGGAATCTCATGAGCCACCTTCAGCAGCTGCCCCCGACAGGGATGAGGCACGACAAGCTGTCGTCTACCAATGTCAGCCCCCCTTCCCCTCAGTGGGCAGCCCCTCCCTATATAGTCGGCCTTGCTCCTAGTAGACCTTTTGTTTGGCATTCTCAGCAGGGGGGCCATTAGCCAGATTCCTGAGCTGCTCCGGGGTCTGGTCTGTCAGTAGGGCAGCCTCAAATGTGGAACTACAGGTCCCAGCCAGCGGTCCTGTAGCAAACAATGACAGCTGCTGAGACTCACTGGAGGCAGAGTCCACTGGGTCAGAACAAGGGGAGGGGTCAGGGACGTCCTCCGGCTGTTCTGAGACCCGAGTCTGTGCCTCAGCTACCCTTGCCGCACTGCGAGTGACCACTAAGGTGAGGGATGTCTCATTAGTATCATCATAACCATCAACATTACTGACCTTATTAATGACATTACTGACATTACTAATGATATTACCGACATTAACATCAACATTACAGGCATTTGCAACATCATTGTCCTCATAATTACCACCAGTTACTTGTCTACTGTCCATGTCACCTGAGTTCGTTACCTCCCCCAACAAGGGGATTTCTTCTCCCTCTCCAGCTAATGGAGAATCTTGCCATCCCGCTCCCTTTCCAGCCCCCTCCCTCAGTCCATCCACAGGCTGCCCAGACATTATCCCAATATCTGCACACAGTACCTTGGTAGGTCCCGAGAGTTCCAGGGGGGCATCCGGAGAGTCCTTATCAGGGGCATAATAGGAAATAAGGGTGCCTAGATCGGCCCCCAATAAGACAGCTGTGGGAATTTCATCTGAGACTCCTACCTCCCTCATCCCCCTCCCGGCACCCCAGTCGATGAACACATATGCCTGGGGTATGCGGGAACGGGTTCCCCCCACTCCGGTGAGGGTCAGGAACTTCTCTGGGATGATGTCTGTCTCCTCTATCACCTCGGGTCGGACTAAGGTGACTTCAGCTCCAGTGTCACGGAAACCTGTTACGGTCCGGTTGCCGACGATGACCGGCTGTAGGTTGGTGCTGGGTCCCCGAGGTTTCCCACTGACCAGCAGCATGGAAGAAGAGTTGCGGTCTGGCTGGCCCGATGATGTCATCTTCTTCTGCTCAGGACACTGGGTCCTGAGATGTCCGGCTTTCCCACAGGTGAAACATTTGCGGGTGTCAGGCAGGAATGGCTTGGCTCCAAGCGCTGCAGGGTTGGGCGGAGGTGAAGCTTGACTCACCGAAGTAGGAGAGGTTGCTAGGGACGATTTCCCCCCCTTTCCAGCTGTTTGGAGGAGCCTTGCGAGGGTCAGACACCCGCGTGTGGACGAAGGTATCTGCCAGATCTGCTGCAGCTGTAGTAGATGCTGGCTCCCTCTCCAAGACGAACTGTCTGACGTCTGCTGGACAAATGTGCAGGAGTTGATCTCGTATCATGAGATCTTCCAAAGATTCATAGGAATTAGCTTTCAGTCCCTTAGTCCACTGTTGGAATGTGGTACGTAAGCGACTTGCCACATCCGTGTAAGAGTCCCCAGGTCCCTTCTGCATGGACCTGAAACGCTTGCGGTACACTTCCGGGGTCATCTGGTACTTCCGGATAATGGCTTCTTTTAAAAGTTCATAGTCATCATCTTGCTCCTCTGGCAATTCAACAAACGCATCCAGGGCCTTGCCTCGTAGCCCTGGTTTCAGGTACCGAACCCATTGAGCTTGGGGCACATGGTACTGACGGCACATTTTTTCAAAGGACAGTAAGTAGGTGTCAATGTCGCTGTCCTTTTCCATCATTGGAAACTTAGCTGCGCCCACGGAAAGAGTGGCGTCCCTGTGATCTAGGGACCCGAGGTTCTGACCCGGTCACTGCTGGAGCCTTGCCATCTCCATCTCATGCCGATGATCAGCTTCCCTCTGCACCGCCTCTCTCTCAGCCGCTCTTTCAGCTTGGCGTTCCGCAGTTTCTCTGTCAGCCGCTGCTTGGCGTTCCCCAGTTTCTCTGTCAGCCGCTGCTTGGCGTTCCACAGTTTCTCTGTCAGCAGCTGCTTGGCGTTCCGCAGTTTCTCTGTCAGCCTGGCGTTCCATGAACCGCAGGTATGCCTCCAGATCTGTCTCCATGAGGTGTTTCAAGGCCTCCTGCATCTGAGAAGAGTCTCTGCTGGTTCCAGGCACCACGGTGCTAGCGCTCAGGCGGTGGTGTGACGCTAACCTTTGGTGATCCTCCAGTGTCAGTCTCTGTATGCCCATCCTGTGAGGCCGTCTCTGAGCCACTGGCAATGTGGGTAACGGGAACCCCTCCATGTTCAAGTTCCCCCGAGTTCTGATTTGCTCGGATATCATACTCCACTAGATCACTAATCAAATCTTCACGGGTTTTGCGACCGACGTCCAATCCTCGTGAGGCACATTCAACTTTCAAATCACCTTTGCTCATTTTCTCGTAATCTGCTTCACCAGGCATAATTGCAAGCAAAGATAGAAGAGAAAAGTAGGAAAAGAAAATAGCTGTTGCTATGTGTCTCTCTATACACACATATATATAAAGTAAAATATGCACCGCTTGTTTCTAAGGACTGTTTCCACAAAGGTTACAATCCTTCAGTGTAGAGCCAATTTTTAACACTATACTGAAGCTCTTACTGCAATTATCCCACGTACGCTGCCACTAGAGATGAGCGAATTATTCAAAAATTCGATTCGACTGATTCGGCAAATTCGTGGAAAAAATTTAATTCGAGTCGAATATATTCGCTGCAAATTTAACTTATAAAAGGGTGTTTCTAGGCTTCAGAGAGCCTTTATATTATTGCAGAACACTAGTCAGTATGACATGCAGATGAGTGCCGTCGATCTTAGAATCACCGCACACTTCACTCATTTGGGCAGTCACGGGGCCAAAACCAGAGTGTGGAGCCACAGTGTGGCGGTGGAGGCAGCAGCAATGGGAGGCCATACAGCACCCTATGACAAAATGGAACCCACCAGCAGTGTGAGGAGACCTGAAAGTGGCACATGGCAGAGTGTGGCGATGGAGACAGCAGCAATGGGAGGCCGTACAGGGACCCATGACACACTCTGGACCTGGCAGCAGCATGAGGAGGCGGTACAGGGGCCCATGACAGATTACGGGCCTGGCAGCAGCATGAGGAGTCGGTACGGGGGCCCATGGCAGATTACGGGCCTGGCAGCAGCAATGGGAGGCCGTACAGGGACCCATGACACACTCTGGACCTGGCAGCAGCATGAGGAGGCGGTACAGGGGCCCATGACAGATTACGGGCCTGGCAGCAGCATGAGGAGTCGGTACGGGGGCCCATGGCAGATTACGGGCCTGGCAGCAGCAATGGGAGGCCATACAGCACCCTATGACAAAATGGAAACCCACCAGCAGTGTGAGGAGACCTGAAAGTGGCACATGGCAGAGTGTGGCGATGGAGACAGCAGCAATGGGAGGCCGTACAGGGACCCATGACACACTCTGGACCTGGCAGCAGCATGAGGAGGCGTACAGGGGCCCATGACAGATTACGGGCCTGGCAGCAGCATGAGGAGTCGGTACGGGGGCCCATGGCAGATTACGGGCCTGGCAGCAGCAATGGGAGGCCGTACAGGGACCCATGACACACTCTGGACCTGGCAGCAGCATGAGTAGGCGGTACAGGGGCCCCTGACAGATTACGGGGCCTGGCAGCCAGCATGAGGAGTCATGGTAACCGGGGGCCCATGACACACTCTGGACCTGGCTGGTCCGCGGCAGGCGAGCATGAGGAGGTCGGTACGACGGGGGCCCAGTGGGCAGATTTCCGGGCCCTGGCCAGTAGGAAAGGAGGCCGTACTAGGGACACATGACACACTGCTGGACCCCTGGCAGGTCAGCATGAGGAAGGCGGTACAGGGGCCCATGACATATTACGGGCCTGGCAGCAGTAAAGCAGCAATGAGGAGTTCGGTACGGGGCCCATGGCAGATTAACGG